TTGTTGTTGGGTGCCATCGAGTCAGTTCTGACTCATGGTGACCCTATGCACACCAGAGCGAAACACTGCCTGGTCCTGGGCCCATCTCACAATTGTTGCCATGCGTGAGCCCATTGATGCTTCTACTTTGTCAATCCATCTCGCTGGGGGTCTTCCTCTTTTTCTCTTCCTTACCAAACATGAGATCCTTCTCCAGCAACTGGTCCCTTCTGACAATATGTCCGAAGTATAGAGGACCACAAATGAAACATGTTGGAAGAGGGTACTCTGAAACGCTCATTTGGTCCCCAAATCAGAAAACAGGTAGAAAGCAGTGTGGTGGACAGACCACTCTAGGTTCCCTGGCCCTCCTCGTGTCCCTCACAGCTCCAGTCTCCCATGTGTGTGTGTGTGCGCACGCGCGCGTACACTGCTGGAAAGGCCAGATCACCTGCTGGCTCTTCAAGGGCTCGCTGAACAGTTTGGTCCTCTGACCTGAGAACCTTCTCTGTTCTGCAGAAGGGATTGGCTGGGGTGAGGCTGGGGTCAGAGGTGGGGGCTGTGGCTCCCGCAGTGTCCCCAGGGAATCTGTTGGGAATCTTTGGAAATCTTTGGAACTATAGCTGGTGATCTTTGTAATCAGGGCCTGGGTGTAGACAATTCCCCTTATCCATTAATCCATGTGAGAAAAGGCTATAATTTTTCTAAGGAGCTTTATTAAGAACTTTATTAAGAAACAGAGGGGGAAATACAAAGTACAAAACTAGAAGAAAGAAAGAATTTATGGCACAAATTTGTTACCCTGTGGCAACTAAAAGGAAGTGATTGGGCTACATACACCATTAACAATATCAAGGGTCATGTTCCGGTGCTCGCTGCTAAACCAAATGTAGACTTTCTACGGAGACACCCGGGTGGCTTTGCCTAATTTGCCTGTATCATCTCCACTCCTCCAATCATAGGAGTCTGTGGTCCCAAGAATACCTATTTGGCTGCTGTCTTGATCCATTTAATGAAACTAGTCCACCACCTTTGGTCAAATGACGTCTTCTTCTAAGCTTGCATCTTTTTTCTGCTGAAAACATCATCTTGGGTGTTCTCGCTGGCAGCTCTGTGCCCCAGCTAGTCCAAGAGTGCTTTCCTTCTGTATGCCCTCATCCTACTTCATTGAAGGCACAGCTCTCAACCTTAGTTTATCTGCCAACAAGAGATGCCAAACACCTCGATCTTGGCACCTACTGAACAAACCCTGTCCAGTTCAGGTTACCAACCTCACCAACTTCCTTGGGAAATGTTTGACTTCTCTCTTGGACTTTTGCCCTTTTGGAATTTTATCTTCATAGATGTGTAATATGACATAGCCTTATAGATATAGTAATAATAAAACTACAGTGAATGGAAAGCCATTCTCTCCCACATTAAATTTTCTCTAAGTTATCGAAAGATTGGGCCATTCTTGCCATTAAAAAAAAACAAAAACTTTTTTCTGAATGACTACGGTTGTCAGTCCTTAATCAGTAGTGTCTGATTCTCCACTGGCTTTTAGGGATAATATTGATCCTTTCTGTTCCCTGGTTATGTCTTAAGTGTATGGCTTCTCTGAGCAACTGCTGGAAAACAAAACAGTCTCCTCCGAAGAAGATGGTTTGCCGAAAGCAACTCGGCCAGATGCTCTTTTGGCCACGTAATCTGTGTGAGGCCAGTACCAGGCAGTGTACCCTTTTACTTAACAATACCTTGTAGCTGAGCTTTATGGTGCACCAAATACTTGTATATACTTGTCGTGCGATTCTCATGACAACCCAGTGAGGTGGGCATGGTGGACGCTATTATCCCTGTTTTACTGTGTAGAAAATCGAGGCTAGGAGAGAGGTCAAGATTTCACGGCTATTTTGTGGAAGACCCAGAATTCCACTTGGATCTATGCTCTTTCCTTCTCCTCATTCTCTTTCCTTTTCTAGGCACAAAGAATAAAAAAGAAGTTTTACACTCCCTTTCTTCCTCCCTGAATGATATTCTAATTTTACCAACAACGAAGAAGCTCTGGTAGCGTAGTGGTCGGTTATGACTCCGGCTGCTAACCTCAAGGTCAGCAGTTCGAAATTACCAGCGGTTCCACGGGAGAAAGATGAGACTTTCTGCTCCCGTAAACAGTTACAGCCTCAGAAACCCTGTACAGCGTGGCTATGAGTCAGAACCGACTTCACGGCACATAACCACCACCACCACCATTCAACAACGGCTGCTCCAAACAGGCAAGGGAGCCATTGATTGAGTTGTCCTCATTCAGTGAGTGTGGCCCGAGCCTGTGACACTTTTCTAGGGTGGGTTCCTTGGGCAGTTGCCCTACTTGGCCAGGCCCTTCCTTGCTATCCAGCCCTGACCAGCTCTGACTTTCTTCTTATTCCTCTGGTCACATAATCTCATTTACTCTTAGCTGACACATCCGTTCTCAATTCCATCAGCTATCCTTAAATCTCCATAGAGGTGGATTTTCTATTTGACGTAAATATTCAAGAACATATGTTATTTAATGAATAATAACTCAAGTAGCAACGTGTATATGAATAATAACGCAAAAAGAACCTGAGCTCCCGTATCACTATTGGCAAATTCTGATCCTATTTCTACTCGATAATTACTCAGACATACTTTTGCCATGTTGTTATCATTGTATGATGATCATCCCAAATTCTCCATCTTTTTGCTTATGATTACATCATATGATTCTAGTTCTCCTAAATAGTTTCCAGACATGAAGACAGTATCCATGGTCCTAATATACCACAATCTACTTAGCTGTCACCCCACAGCTGAACAATTTCCAGTTAATCATTCAAACTGAGGGCAGCCACAAATATCTCAATGCAAATGTTTTTCATTTGGTTTCTCTTCCCCCAGAAAGTATTCCCACAAGTGGAGTAACTTGTCCTTACATTCTTTGTGTGTGGTGTGTGTCTTGTCAAGTACTACCAAATTGCTCTCCAGGAAGATTACAACATTTCTAGCAACAGGAGTTTAACTATTTCTCCACAGCAAATTTCTAAAATTTATTTTGGATGACTTTAAGGTAAGTATTTGCCCATTCACTAGCCCATGCCTAAGTAGCACTGGTGGCGCTGTGGATTAGGTATTAAGCCACTAACTGCAAGGCTGGCAGTTCAAACTCACAGGGGTTAGTGCAGCCCAATGCTTAACCCACCATGCCACTAGGCTCCTCAAAAGCCCCCTTAGGCATGTGTTTTCAATGAAAAGAGAAAGATCCTTTTATTGGTTTCTGTCCTTTAAGCTTTACCTTGTTGGCACAATGGGTTAAACATTGGCTCGCTAACCACAAGGTCATCAGTTCAAACCCACCCATCCCTCCTCAGGAGAACGATGAGGCTTTCTGCACCTGTAAAGATCTACAGCTTCAGAAATCCTAGGGAGCAGTTCGATTCTGTCGTGTCGGGCCGCTGAGTCAAAATCGACTTGACAGCGAACTGTGGAGGTCCATGCCTATGTGGGTGCTGTTTCTTTGGGCCTTTGAGATGGTCTCTCGGTCACTGCACATATTGGGGACCCCACTCTTGCTGTGTGCTGTCTAGTTGATTCCAATGCAGAGTGATCTCATGAACCGGGTAGAACTGACCCATAGGGTTTCCTAAGCTATAATCCTTATGGGGGCAGATTGCGGGGGTCTCCTTCCTGTGGAGCCACTGGGTGGATTTGAACTGCCAACTTTTGGGGTAGCAGTTGAATGCTTAACCCTGGCATTACCAGGTCTCCCTTTTCTTTTACTGGTTTTCTTTATTTTTTTTTCATTTTAATTTTACTGTGATAACAAAAAGTCTGCCATTTGATTGGTTTCCTTTTCACCTTGATTATCCTTTGCTGTGTACACATTTAAAATTTTTATGTAATTGAATTTGGCCATCTGGACGTTACTGACTCCCCCTAACTGTGTCAATAAACAAGAGCTGACCTCCCTGGAAAAGAAGTTTCTTTCCCTCAGCCCTCAGCCCTGTACTTTCAATCTGCATATCTACCCGTCATTCCTAACACTAAGATTCCCTTTGGTCATCTCCCTGGCAGTCCCTGACTTAACAGGTCCTCGCCACTTACTCAAGTAACTCAATGTCATGGGCACTGCCACTGCCCGTTAGCAGTTGAGTGGTCGCGGCTCCCAGTCCACTCCTACAGCCGTCTGTCCTGGCCCCACTACCAACTTCTCTGCATTTTCTGGCTGGCATGGCCGCCCCAAAGCTATGTCTGGCCTCCAGAGGAGTTTGTTTCTCCCAGCAACCAAGACTGACAGAAGGACAGACTCCTTCTCCCTTTCATTCAGCCAAGTAATGACCAAAATGTCTCAAATGGAATTTTCTGGAAAGCTAAAGAAAAACAAAGTAACAAGTCCCACAAATGAGAAGCCAGTCAAACAAGGGCTGCTCTGCTGAAATTTTACACACACCCAAGGTCTTGCCCATGTTGGCTTGGGGCATCTCCTTCCGGGGACACTTAGCCCAGGCGCCAACCCTGATACCCTGACAGGTGTGGTCTTCCTGGAGCAGTCATTTGGTGCCTTTAGAGTGTCTACACTTGTTCCCACGTGAACCCCAATGCCTAAGGGTTATACTCCCTGGCTGTGATAGGTGCAAGATGCCATGTACACCCTAAGCTGTGGACAGCTGAGCCCCTCTTGGCTCAGATGCCTGCTTTTGTCTGCTCCCTAAGACTCCCTTTTGAGTGGTTTGGAAGAATGCAAACCAGGACACATTTATAAACCTGGCAACAGCAGTAACCCCCACAAGAAGCAAGAGGGAGTCGCACCCTCAGCTCCTCTGTTCTGGGGGGTGAACATGGTCAGGCCACCACCTTTGGTCCCTATCCCTGAACACCAGAAGAGAGTCTAGCAAGTTTGGCACTGCACTTGAAAAGTCACCAACCCTGGCCTTCTAGAAAATGCCCTCATCTGTCCCAGGTCATGGAAGTTCTGCTCTCCCCACTGCCCTGCCCTCCCCCCTGCCCCAGTCTGAGCCCCTTTAACTGTTGAGAGAGCGGAGTCGGAAGACATGGATGGTTCCGTTACTGAGGGAAATGGCTAGGAACCGACCATCCACCATAGTGGTCACCCGGGGCTTTTCCAGGCCGTGGTAGGCTGTAAGGAAGTCGCCCAGCAGTGAGCCCTTCGGGTCCAACACCACCACTTTGTTGACCTCTCGAAGGGTCAGGAAGATATAACCCTTCTTGTCCACAGACACGGAGCCTGGCTGGCAGCCATATAGGCCGGGACCACTGTACTCCCCGATCACCTGGCCCAGCCCATCACAGACCACCAAGCTATTCTGCTGCCAATCGGACCCCACAAAATGGCCCTGGGGGCTGGTTGCCAGGAACACCAGTGCCCGGCTGCCCCGGCTGGCCTTGCCCCCGGGGACAAACCGGGTAGCTAGGCTCCCTTCCATATTGTAAACCTCCACGTAGCCTGACACGCTGACAGCCACCCTATCTCTGCTTGGCAGGGCAGCCACAGCGTGGCTGGCCTGTGAGTGGGTCAGAGCCCGGCGCCACTGTACCTCGCCATCAGAACTGATGAGGTAGAGCCGAGCGCCGGCCGAAAAGGCCACGGCGCCCTGCAGGGCAGCCACGCTACACGGGGAGCAGCCCTCGGGGGTTGGCACCTTGCCTTTGTAGTCGCCATTGAGGGAGAAGCGTTTCAGTACCTTGTTCTGCTCATCTGCCACCAGGATCTCCTGAGAACCGAAGGGACAGAGGCCGGTGATCCGGGGAGACCACCTGTCTCCAGGCATCCGCGTGGGGAAGCTGTATAAAAAGACAGGTTTGGGAAGGAGGCCAGAGCCTTCCAGGTTTGGCCCTGGTGCTGGGCTAAGGTCCCGGGAAATCGACCTAAGCCTCTCGTTGAACTTTCTCCTGTGGGAGCTGCCACTTCTCTGGGACACAGCTTCTGTATCTTTTCTGAGGATATGAGCTTTATTCTCTTTGGGGGTCTGGGCCCCATTTTCTCTCTGAATCTGGCCCCTGTCCTCTTTTGGGGTCTGAGCCCCATCTTCTTTCTGAATCCGTATCCTCTCCTCTTTTGGGCACTTGGCAACATCCCCACTCTGGGACTGGACTCCACCGAACTGGCTCTCTATCTTGGCTTGGTCCTTTCCCTGACTCTGGGCTGCCTTAGCTTTCTGGGTCCCAGCTCCATCTTCCCCCCTATCCTGTGGCTGCTGCTCCTCAAAGCTGAGTTGGAGCAGGTGGCAGTTCTTGTCTAGCAGTCCGGGATGCAGCTCCAGCTGGGGCAACCGGCAGGGGGCTGGCTCAGGTGTCCAGGGGCAACGCTGCAGCTGCTGGAGTCTCTGAGTAATCGCCCCCTCTAGCGAGAGGATCTCAGTCTCACGACCCAGGCTGAGCACTCGATGGGCAAACATGGCCGCCGTCCTGGCCACCTGTTCCCGGCCTTCGAGCTCGGCCAGCCTCCGGCGAGCAGCCTCCTCAGCAGCCTCGACGTGGGCCCGGAGCTGCCCCAGCACCTCCTGCTTCTGGGCCAGGAGGGCCCGGAGTACCTGCTCGGCTGCTTCCTCTACCTGCATCCCCACCTTGGCCGTCTGCTCCCGCAGCCGGACCAAGACTTCCTTCTCCTTGGTCTGGGCAGCTTCCAGCTCTGCCAGGTTCTTGTCCACACCCGCTAGCAGCTCCTCTAGGCCCGGCCTCCGGGCCTGCACTGCCTCGGCCAGGGGTAGGCATGGGTGGTCCAGGTGGGGGTCCAGGCGGCACTCCCGGCACAGCAGCTGGGAGCAGGGCTGGCACATAAAGCGCAGAGCCTCACCAGGGTGCTGGGGGCACTGGGCTGCCTGGCGCTCCCGGGCTTCCTCATCATACCACCCTGCTCTGTAACCCACAAGGTCCACCACTCGGTGGGTATGGGTCTGGCGGCTGCAGCGGTGCCCATCGGCACAAGCCTGGCATAAGCTATCAGCACAGTCCAGGCACCGGGCAGTAGCTGGCGCTCCGGTGTTGGTGCCCCCCATCAGGGCGCAGAGGGCACAAGCTGGCTTCCCTGCCCATAGGTCTCCCCCGGCCCGTGCAGTCACCAAATCCAGGAGCCCATTGACGAAGAAGTTAGTCTTGAAGACAGCCACCCCCCCGGGTGGTACGGGCACAACTTCCCGGCACTCGGGGCATCGCAGGTGGCCATCCTCGGGCAGCTGGGCCAGGCAGGCTTGGCAGTAGGTGTGCAGACAGGGCAGGGTTTTGGGCACCTGCAGCTGCTCCAGGCAGATTTTACAGGCCAGAAAGTCACTGCTTAGGGCCTCCAGCAGAGAGAGTGTGGATCCCTGGGAGGCCATGCTGCAAGTGGAGGGTCCGGGTTAGAGATCAGAGAGCACCCTCCAGCCTGCCCCATCCTCAAGCCCAGGGGGACCCCCAGGTCTGCTATGTCACCTGAACGGCAAGGGATTTCCTTCTGGCCTCTAGGTCCTCTTGAGTTAGGGAGTCCCTCTCCACCTCCTCACATACATCCAGCAAACTGGCTTTGCTGCTTCCTTGTGTCAGACGCTGTGAAAAAATGGCAAGCCCACTTAGGAACTCAGACGCTCACAGGTGATGTGGATAGTGTAGATCTAAGCCTGTGAGAATGAAGGCTGGGGGCAGGTCAGGTTGGAAGGGCATCTTCACAGAAGAGGTCAGGTAGGCCCTCATCCACCCAGCTCCAGATGTCTACACCAGTCTTCTCCTAGACCCTGGGACCCACACTGGTGGTGGTGGTGGTGGTGTGGGGGGAGGGGGTCAGTCCCTTCCTGCTGACTTTTCCTAAAAAGGATTCTAGAGCAGATGGGAAAGGGGCTGCTGGAGTTCAGGGCCCTCCTAAGTCTTTTTCCTTTGACCTTTCCTCTTAACAGCTTGCCCCCAGCCCCCTGGAGGGTCAGCTCAAGTCCGGTGGTTTGTGAGCACTTGACTGAGGGCATCTCCCCTTTTCCCAGGCCGGAAGGAGAGAGCAGAGAGAGATGTTTCAGAGGGAACTTTAGACTTCTGGTTGGGGTAGAGGAAGAGGAGGTGGTGGAATGAGGGGCGAGGGGGCCCTGCGCTGCCTTACACTCTCTCCTCTCCTGCCTCCCGCCCTCCCCCCTCCCTTAAGTTCAGCCCTCCCCTGCAGCCCAGCTGTCTCCCACTGCAGTCTCCCGCTTCCTTACCTAGCCCCAGCTGGCCAAGGCCTCCCCGGAGTGGACGCCACAGTTGCTGGGCGCCTGGAAGAGAAACAAAACTGAAACTAGTGGGACTTGAGCAACTTCCGTCCCCAGCCCGGGACACCGACGTGCACGGCCTCAAGCCCCGCCTTCTTCCCTACAGAGGCCCGGACCTCTTCTTCCTCCGGTAGCGGCAGCGTGTCTCCCACCCGCTGACAAGGGCCTTCGGCAGGCGCCGCGCCCGCGGCTCCCGCCACCCATCCCTGTTGACTGCATGCGTCCAGCCAGTTTGCTCACGCGGAGAACTGCCTGCGGGCACATCCTCCAGTGTGGGCATGGGCTCTTCTATGATTCAGAGACTTACAGTAACTGGAACCAAGTCCGCAGGCAGGTTTTTCTAGAGCTGTTGAGCGCTCCACGCAGCTACCTTCAAAATCCATAAACCTTTTTGGAGCCTGGAAACCAGATAAGGGGCTCCTCGTTCTGAGGAGGCAGCAAAGGCTTCAGGGAAGAGGTTTACTTGAATTTGAGGAGTGTCCGCTACTGAATTAGCTGGATAAGAATGCAGGGAAGGGCATTCGGGGAACAGGGAACAGCAAGTACAAAGACAGAGGAAGAAAATCGCATGACTCTCCTGGGTGATTTAGGGTGTGTTGTGTGAAGGGAACGTGTGTGGTGACAGTGGCCAAATCATTAAAGTCCCTATGTTCCACCTTGAGGAGTCTTGAGTTTTATCTAAAAAGCCAAAAGAAACCATTGAAAAAACAAACATTTTTAAACACAAAAAAAGTTGAAAGAATGGCACAATGAACTCCCATATCCCCATCATTAGGTTCTACATTGAACACTTTATTTGATTTATTACCCCATCTATCCGTCCTTGTACATAAGTTGAATTGTATCCCCCATTCCCTTTCCCGTCAACTCCAAAAGATAGGTTGAAGGCCTAATCCCTAGTTACATTACTTTGTTTGGAAAGAGGATCTTTAAAGATGTTTTTTCAGGTTAAAGATTAAAGATCTTTAAAGGTTAGGGACGCTTTCTTGGTTAGAAGCCCAATGCTTAACCCACAGCATCACCAGGATTACCCATTAAATTACCATTAGGTCAGCCCTAATCCAATCTGTGTGGTGTCCTTATAGAAGAGGAGAAAAGACAGCTATATGAAAATGCATCTGTGAGTCAAGGAATCCATCAGAGGCTAGGAGAGAGGCCTGGGACAGATTTGCCCGCAGAGTCCTTTTAAATCAGTTCTGACTCACTGTAACCCTGTATAGAGTTTCTGAGGCTGTAAATCTTTTCAGGAGCACAAAACCTCTCTTCTTTCTCCTGCAGAGCAGCTGGTGGGCTTGAACTGCCAACCTTGTGGTTCAAAGTCCAATGTTTATTCTATTGGGATCACTACGCTCCCTACAGAGCCTTTAGATGGAATCAACACAGTCAAAACTGATATCTCAACTTCTAACCTCTAGGACAGCAAGACAGTAAGTGTCTGTTATTTAAAATTCCCCAGTTTGTGGTATTTTGTTACAATAGTTCTAGGACATGAATGAATCAGTAAACTAAAACCCGTTTACCATGGATTTCACTCTGTTGTGTGTCAGAGAACTGTGGCTGACTTGTTCAGACATTGAAAAAAAGCTTTCTTACCAGGCAACGCTAGGTGGAATCGAACTTTCAAACTTTTGATTACTAACCAGGGAAACGAATTCAACCTTTTATTCACAATGATGGAATTTAAATGGAAGGCTGAATAGATGACATACTAAGACAAATGTCATATTAAGGTGACAAAATAATAGAAAGAATAGCTGACACTTAATGGGAGTTTTTCATGTGCTCTACATAGGGTGTTATGAGGGAAATTTATCTATCAGTGCAATCTTTGCACTCCACTTCTCTGATAACAAAATGGAAGGAATTCAATTCCATTTAAAATGTTGTCTTGTCTCAACACCTGGAGCTAGATCAGATCTCGTGATTAAAGGGCATAGTCCTCCAGACTGCCAAATTGGCTCAAGACTCCGATGTCAGCCACAAGCTTGGAGGTCCTCAGACCCCCCTCACTTCTGCTCCCACTCTTCCTTTGGGTTCAGTGATCGATTAGAACAAGCCACAGAACTAAGGAAAGTGCTATGCTTGTGATTATAGTTGTATTATAGCAAAAAGGGAACCCGTGAAGAGATGCATAGGGCGAGGTCTGAGAGGTTTGTTAACCTGGAGTTTCTGAGTCCCAAAATAGGAGCATGCTACCCTTCCAAGTGTATCCATGTCTGTTCCCAACCAGACACTCATGTAGATTTCATGTCTAGAGCTTTGGTTGGGGCCTCAATGCACCATACGGTACGCATTGAGTCACGTCCTCCTCCTTTTAGGTAAACTGACATCACAGGGTGGGGCTTTCTGACCTGGCCAGCCCCCACCCAAGAGGCACCCCATATAACAATAAACTTTCAGGTCAACTTTCAATCCCTGGAGAAAGTCCAAGGTTTTAGAGGTTGTCTTTTAGGACCTTAGGGCAAAGACTAAATTCTTTAGACAAGCTTAATTGTAAGCCCCACCAGTGTTGCAACATGACTGGGTGCAATAGGTACCACTGTCACGTCCATTTTGCAGATAAAGAAATCGAGTCACAGAATAAGTTATCCGAAGTGCTAAGGGATCACAGATGAAGGAGACTTTGACTTCCCCAGGAAGGGGTGGTAGGAATCAGGAAAGCTTCATGGGAGATGCCCCATTCCAAAAGGTAGAAGGCACAACTATTGAACAATTGTTAAAGTGCCTACAGTGTTCCACCACCACCCATTGGGTCAGTTTGTGGTACTGTGGTAGCAATGGGTAGTGATCAGTGGTGGACAGGTGTCAACAAAGCTTCTAGAGTAAGAAAAAATGAGAAGGAAGGCCTGTTAATCTACTTCCAAAAATGAGCAAATGAAAACACTATGGGTCAGGAGAGGTGGATGGGGGAGAAGTGCAGTGAGAATCTCTGTCAGCAATAAAACACAGAATACCAGATGATGAAGTTTCAGGGGATGGTTTCAGAACTCTGAACCACACATAAGCAACTACTTGGAAAGTTTGAAGGCTTACAGCCAGTGGAATTTGTCATGTCAGAAAGAAATCCAGTGCTTGCGAATCTGCTCACCTCAGCAGCTCCTGGAGCGGCCATCTTTGGTGAAACAGTGTGGAGGAAGGATCAGAGTCACTACAGACCAACAACACCCGACAGATCCTCGGAGATAAAGGTGTGGACATTTTTTGTTTTTTTTTTTTTGTCTTTTTGTATCTGTTCATTGGTCTCTCACTGTCTGTGCACCTCCCTTCTGGTGATTAGACGGGGTGCCTGAGTGGACACCCCCGCCCCCAGAGAGTTCTACTACACATGTACACAGATCTGCTCGGCAGAATTCAAAGAGATAGTTTACACTGAAAACCAAACTGCAGCACAAAACGGCCCTGAACTGTTTGTCACTAGGAAAAAGGCCTGAACAGGGGTTTTGGAGCAGGACAGACAGACTAAAAAGGAAACAGGCCAAAAGTTAAATCCTGAGTCACATCATAATGACCAACAGTTGCTATTGTTGTTGTTAAGAGCCGTCAAGTTGATTTCGACCCATAGCGACCCTGTATAGGGTTTCCAAGGAGCAGCTGATGAGCTTGACCCACCGACCTTGCAGTTCAAACAACTTTGCAGTCTGACACATTATTAGCCCACTGCACCATACCAGAATGCCAACGACCAACAGTAGCATCTTCAAACTTATCAGGTGGCCTTAAAGGCAAGAAGCCGAGAAAGGGACATTAAAGTTATAACCATATTTGGCTACAGAATTTTTTCTCTCTTTTCTGTGATTTTAGATTACAGTATCCAATCAGTCTTTTTTCCTGTTGCTGTTTTGTTTTGTGTTTTGGTCCCTTCTTTACATTTAAGGGGCTCTTTCTCTCCCTACATTACCCAAGAAGACACAGCAATTGTGGTCATATAATTAAGCTATTAAAGGAGCTCTGGTTGCAAAGTGGTAATGAGTTGTACTGCTAATCTTGGGGTCAGCAGTTCAAAACTACCAGCCATTCCACAGGAGAAATATGAGGCTTTCTGCTCTTGTAAAGATTTACAGCCTCAGAAACCCTGTACAGGGTCGCTATGAGTTGGAACTGACTTC